AGTTTCCTATTCTTATTTCCTATATGTAATGTCTTGCATTATCTGTATCAAACTTCATTTGCCAGTTATCTGTGCATGTGGATACCAAGCAGAAGTTGCATCTTTTTGTTCAGGAGGACGTGAATTTATCCTATTGAATTTAACCCGGTGTCCTGGCCAACAGTCCCCCAGAAAAATTGATCATTCACCTCATGCCTGTTTATGTGGTCTTGCTATGTGCAAAATGGTTACCCTGTTTCCCAAAAAACAATTGGTAATTCATGTAATTTGGGACTATAAAAATGCAAGTACCTTCTTTGAACCTTCACATTGTACAGAGATTTGTCTGGTTGTAGGAAAGTCTGGATTTACCAACCAGATGCCTTCTACTGCAGAAACACATGGGCCTGTTACTGTAGTGATTCATAGTATGAGGAGGCTGCTATTTCTAAGGTTTCCAAGCTCTATAAAATTATTACCTTGATTTTTTGCTGTTAAATAAAAAACATAATTGGACCAACAAATGTCATGCCTCCTGTGGTAGATGGGAAGAAAATGCAGTGGATTTTGTCTCAAATATTAAGATGTTTACCTGGATAGAATGTAATGTCTTCTTAATGTTTGCTAACACTTTGTGGCATGTACCAAAAACCCGACTGCTTATTTTATGTGAAAATATTTGAAAACGTAAGTGGTAGGTAGAAAAATGTAAATTGATGTATTCAATGAGTGAGACACACATTGCATTTAAAATAATTAAACTTGAGGTTGTGAATCTATACAGTAGTTGAGGAGAAGAGTACCGGATGTTAGATCCTTTGCGTAATTGGAACGATTTTGATTTTTGGTGTTGCCCATACTGGCTTTTGTCAAGCAATACCTATTTTATTCATTTCCAGTTTGTTTAAGGTAAACCCATACATAATCTGAGGACAATGTTAATCCAACCCATGACATCCACTGCATCAAACTTTTTGTCTTGGTTGCAAATAATTAATCAATAACATTTATGATCCAGTTGTGAATGCTGAGCACGATGCAGGAAATAATCCAGTCAATGCTGCATTTCTCTGGAAATACAATGAAGACGTAAACCGTATTGTTTTATTAAATTATTCCTCTGACAGTTAAGTTGCCAAAGGGCACATCAAATGGTGTACGATTTGCAAATTTATGTTTAATCTCTAGTTTAGAGAAATTATGAATCATGTTCAAAAGTAATCTTCCTCCAAGCGTAACAAATCCTGATAAACTGGTAAATGGATTCAATTGCACCGGGAACTCCATCAGTTTATCCCCCGTGATTTGTACACTTGAAATATCAAAGAAGAAAATAGACATAAAGCAAATATCAATAGCAATGGAATATACAAGTAACTGAGCCTTTCTGTACCTAAGCACAGAACAGTCATTAGCTATTCCTTCATATAAAGGCTGCATTGAGCTGCAATTTCCACATTCCGATTAATGTATATGAAAAATAGTTAACCTAATCAATCAAATGTAACCTGTAACATTTAACCCTCAAAATTGAATAGTGCATTTGACTGTTGAGAGAAACAGAAAATCTAATGGTAAATGCACATGTCAAGAAAGATTTTCTGAAGGAATGACTTAAATACTTACGTTGCTAACAACATGGACTGGGAATGGGGGAAAGGATAGCATTTAGTTAAGACTTAAGCCATTATTATGCTGCTGTGCTGGAGAGGCAGGAAATGTCTTCTAGGAAACAGCAGTTCTACAGCCTTGGTTTTCATTGGTACTAAATATCTTATGTTGCAGTGATGAGAGTATTCTCAATGAGGTAAGTAAATCCTTTAAATCCAGCATTAATCTGCTCTTGTACAAATCCCTTATCCTTTAGATCACACACTAAACACTATTTACACGCTACTTAATTAAGTGCCATTTTACTTGAATTCCTTCCTATCCTCAACTCCAACAATTTATCATATAAGCGCTTTGGGATGTCCTCCTGATGTGAAAAGCGCTATATCAAATGCAAGGATTATTATATAAAAAAACAAACCCACGATGTAAAAAACACATGAATCACTGACAATCTGGAAGAAAAAAGATCCCATGTTCAAATCAAGTCTTCCTCCTCTGCAAATTGCCAGGGCCTGATGATCTTTGGATTATGCAGTTGTGTAATTTGCTGAGTGCAGTTACAGGGCAATCTGTAGGAAGTCCTCCTGGGAGCTGAAAGTGCTGGTAATTCACTTTGTATTGATCACTAATGCAGGGCACCAGCATTAAAAAGCCGTGTTGTCTATAGACCAGCATTTGCAGTGATTTCTAAGGCAGAGTGATGGGAAAGCCATTATTGGTTATTCTTTACATCAATTAAGCAGTTCTCAGAAGCAATCTATTGTGAAATGATCTATGTTCATAATCAGTATTCTGCATCATCCATCTCATTTCTTTAAATTGAAGCCATCAATTTCATTTTTAGGTACAGTTAAAGAGTCCTTTGTATTTCCCGTCTCTTCAGATCAAGGTTAAGCAGTTTTTTAAAATGTGTTTTTTGTATATTTTCAATGAACGTGTTTTTATTAAAGAGTTACCTGTTTAAAAGTGAGGTGAGGGGTGTTGGGAGTTGGGGGGGTGGGGGGTGGAGTACTGAACATGCTACTTTCTTAACAAGATTTGCACCTGAAAGAATATGATTAATTAAATTTAAAAAAATTTGGTCACTCAATCCATGACTTTGTGGAACACTGCTGTGTGCAATTAGCTGCCGCATTTTGCCTACAAAATATAGTCAATTCACTTTACAGTATATTCCGTGAGTGATCTGAGACATCTCAATGATGTGATAAGGCAGGCTATCAAATGCAAGGATTATCATTGTTATTTTAAAATAAGTGTTTAGCCTCTGGCTTTGCTGCAAATGGACTGCGAGAGGAATCATGCTCTTTGTTCCTGTGTCCTGTCCCAGGGTTGGTTGATTCAGGCAATGCCAACTGCAGGAATCAAGTGAATCATCATTTTTTTTATCCTTGCATTTGATATAGCGCTTTTCACGTTGGGAGGACGTCCCAAAGCGCTTCACAGAACACACTGTAAAGTGAATTGACTGTATATTTGTGGGCGAACGCGGCAGCCAATTGCGCACAGCAATGTCCCACAAACAGTCATGGATTGAAAATGACCAATTTATTATTGTTTTTGGTTTTGGAGGGATTATTATTAGGAGTGTGGAGTAAGGAAATTTGCCCAAGGTTTCGCCCTGCCTGGAATTGAACTCAGGTCTCTCGCTTGCAAAGCGAGTGCTCTAACCACTGAGCTACAGGACCCTGAGCACAAGTGGGGCAGGGGTAAGTTTGGGAAATCAGAACACTGAGGTTGGTTACAAAAATAAATAGATGGTGATTCATTGACAATGTATTTTAAAACAAAGGTGACATCATCTTGAAGAACTCTTGTGGAGTCCTGTAGCTCAGTGGTTGAGCACTCGCTTTGCAAGCGAGAGACCTGAGTTCAATTCCAGACAGGGCGAAACCTTGGGCAAATTTCCTTACTCCACACGCCTAATAATAATCCCTCCAAAACCAAAAACAATAATAAATTGGTCATTTTCAATCCATGACTGTTTGTGGGACATTGCTGTGCGCAATTGGCTGCCGCGTTCGCCCACAAATATACAATCAATTCACTTTACAGTGTGTTCTGTGAAGCGCTTTGGGACGTCCTCCTGACGTGAAAAGCGCTATATCAAATGCAAGGATTATTATTATTATTATTATAAGGCCAATGTATTATTATTATGTTTCCAAAGCTTTGTTGATTATACTTTCAAAGGAGGCATTCATCAATCAGACCCCAGTGCTATTACCACTTGGGAATGGGTACTGTCATTTTTAAACAGATGTGTGAGCTGAGCCATCAGAGAAGTTCCATCCCCCACCATTTTCTTTCATCTCATCTATCTTTCATTCCTCTTCAGTCTTTCAACCAGTCTTTCTTTCCTTCATTTTCCCATTACCTTAATGGCTTGAATGTTCTGCTTAATGTAGGTGACTTATTGAATGTATAATGTAGTGATTTTACCTGCACAAAAGATCATGGGTAAAATCTACCATCAATTGTGAGTGGCGCACAGTTATTAACATCTCATTTAAATCCTCACCTTTGTGGCTAAATTGGTTATTGCTAATAGCATTCATTGTCTTAAGCATTTCATGTAAGAAAATGCCCCTACTCCTTGATGGTTTAATCTATTGGCTTTCAGTGTTGAAAGTCTGGGATATTCTATGGAATACTCCTGCCTTTAGCAACTATGTGGTCATACTGTGGAATACAGTGATGATTAATCCAGATGTGCCATCTCTGGATCCTAACGCCCTGAGTGTTGAATGAAAACTTGAGAAAAAATAAGAGTTCATTAAGTTTGCAAAGTGAGAGGTTAGATTATAGAATGTAACACTTCAAACTAACTCAATGTATGAAGTCTGTTAAAACACGATAAGCTGTTACAGCGAATGCAAATGTTATCTATGTACAGAAGAACATTATAAAGCTCATGAAAAACATTTGTGTCACTAAATGTTTACATGTGTGGTATTATTTTTATATGTGGGATTTTGATGTTAACCAGAACTTTCCTTTGATTTACTCCCCATATAATTTGCCACTGTACTCATGACAGTAGCCAAGGTCAGCAGTAACCCAAATCACATTAAGTTAGAGCTCGTGGAGGCAAGAACAGTAATGTTGGACTATGTTTTAATGACAACATCCCCATTTCAAAAGAACACAAGATTAGTTTGGATGAAGAAGACCTATCCAATCTCATCTCTCCAGAACACCCACCTTATTGTCTTCCTATCACAGCATCAAGCTGCTTTTTAAAAGACTCGTGTCCTGGCCTCTTCCTGAAGTGATTCTGCAGTTAAACATGACCCTGGAAAGCTAGCAGAGTGTGACTTTGGGGGTGAATATTACTCATAGAGTTCCTTGGCCAGTTTGTTCTGGACTTTGTTGATATTCAGTTGCCTTCTTTCTTTTCTCAATAGGTCAGAAAATCCTTCACCACAGAAGTGATGTTTTGGAAACAGTTGTCCTCATTAACCCTTCTGATGAGGCAGTGAGCACTGAGGTAAGGTATCCAGTAGGAGGTGCATGAAGGGATGGTAAAGTATAATAAATAGGACACAGATGATCCTATGCTTTAACCTTGGGATGTCCTCCCGACGTGAAAGGAGCTTCATAAATGTAATTTGTTGTTGTTCCTGAAAAACCCTGGAGTTTTAGTAGATTGAGGAATTTATAGTATTATGTAATAATAATAATAATAATAATAAATGTCATAAGGGAGGTGGGTGGAACTAGAATGACTGGGTTTGGGTTATTTTCAAATGCAAGTCCTGTTATCCATGCATTATATTGCGTTTTTTGGAAATTTATGAGGGTGCTTATGATCTATTCAGATCTCTGAGTGAAATATGAATTATTTAATGTATATAATATGCTCTTACTCAAGTTTATATAGATATATATATGGCTTCAATATCCCTGGCCCAGGGAGGCAAAATAAACAGTTCAGGTTTCTGTTCCTATCTAGTGTCCCTGGGATAGAAAGTGCATGTATGTGGACATAGGGCTCAGACAAGGTCAAGTGCACTTGTTATGATAATAATAATCCTTGCATTTGATATAGCGCCTTAAAATACATCTGAGACGTCTCAAAGCGCATCACAGAATATACTGTAAAGTGAATTGACTGTATATTTTGTGGGCACTTTGAGATACCTCCACAATGTGATAAAGCGCTATATCAAAATGTAAGGACTAGTATTATTATTAATACAAGTCCCACTTTTGACAACATACATGACATGAATTAAACTGTACCATTCTCTAAAGGACAACATGCTAAAGCCTTTCGGAATGCCCAGAAAGTACATTTGCATTTTTAAAATAAGTATTTCAGCCCACTCTCTACTCAGATTAGTAGATTGTTATTATAATGAATAAAGATTACTTCCAAGAATTTCAAACAGATGTTCACATTGATACAACTAGATAGATAATGTTTAGAACCACTGCATGGATGTTTGAGGCAGAGTTGTGACAGAGATAGCAGTAAATGGAAGTAACAGGGGCAATATGATTTTTTCACCCATTTCATAGTCGACCAGTCTGATATTGTAAATCATTACAGGTTTTGTGTGGGTGACATGAAGGTTTAAAAAAAATTCAATCCTTGAATTGCCTCTTTTTACATCTTTAAATTGGTTTTGACCTCCAAAGACTAAATGTGATTAAAGACTTGTGATGCTAATAGGGCAATAGCTTTAATTCACACCCTAAGGAAGTAATTCTGCTGTTTATAAAATAATACCTTTCACACATCTTGGCTTCCAGCCTAAACCAGCTGCTGTTAAAGGATGACCAATTCTCCAGTGGCTTCCAAACAGTGAACAGGACCTATCATTTTAATTTAGAGGAACTGAAATAAATTACCCTGACTCCAACAGGAAGCTTTGGGATGAAATCTAATATTGTGACGTTGTAGAATTGAACTGAAGCCTGTTTGTCTGGCCTCTGCTGATAACCCTCGCTTCAAGTGAAGAGACGTTGCAACAGGAAGTCACTCAATACATCTTCAGCAAATTTAAATTTAATTGCAATTTGATGGTAGAATCTGAATTATCTAGAGGGAGAAAAATCACTCAGCTCTTTGGCTTGTTAGTTTTAGATCACCTTCTCAATTCTGATGAACAATGGAAGCATTTGAAGTTATAGTCCCTGCATTTGATATATCTCTTAAAGAGCTTCACAAACTTTTATTGTGCAGTGTAGGCCCTATGTATTTGTAGATGAATGTGGCAGCCAATTTGCACACAGCATTACGCATGCGCAGTGTAGATTGTTAATTAAATTGGATTTTGTATGACTTTTACAGTTTTTACACAGCTCGGACTTTGCGTAGATCATATTAAATGTTATAGTCCAGACTGATAAAACTTATGTGAGTTTTACTGTACAGTAAAGTGTATTTTATTGTATACAAATTGTTTATTGTGTAAAGATGTTTGGTGTTTACATATAGCATGGAAGTACAGTATCATTGTCCTTTAATACACTACAGTACATCTTCTGAGAACTGCACAGAAGTAAGTGATAGGAAACAGAAAATAAGCATATTGATAAGACACATATGCCTCTACATAAACATACACCTATATTGTACTTAAACGAATTTCAACAAATAAGTTGACAATCGTGAGGCCTGGGGTTGTGCGCAGGTGCAGGATGTTGTTGTAGGTCTTCCTGGCTTACAGTGACCCTAGTGGCCTCGCGGAGGACTTGTGCCTACATAGTTAGTCCTCATAAAGAGTCACTGAGCTATTTCCCTTTGGAGTGACGATATATCAGGAGTTTACTGTCGTTTGTGGGAATCATTGCACCCTAGCAGTCTATGGCACAGTTGAATTGTCAGTGCACTCTATATCTTATTATGTGAATACTGAGCAAGGTGCATTAATAATAATAATAATAATCCTTGCATTGGTTCTGCATTATTGAGAGCCACTAACCACTGCTGTAATAGCTGGAACTCTCACTGCAGGGCTGTTCGAGAACTAAAATATGATGCTCTCTTGCCAGGTCCGCTTGATGATCACTGATGCTGCTCGCCACAAGCTGCTGGTGCTGACCGGACAGTGCTTTGAAAACACAGGAGAACTGATCCTTCAATCTGGCTCATTCTCATTTCAGAATTTCATTGAAATTTTCACTGATCAGGAGGTGAGTATCTGAAAATGCCAACACTGATTTGTATTGGAGCCTCATTTTAGTTTCAGTTTTGGCATTGCAGAATAGCACATTGCCAATAGAGTGAGCTGTCTAATGTGGTGGTAGTCAACAATGTTTTGGAGCCGAAGTTTCAAGCGTAACAAAAAGACTGTTGTTAATAAAGCCTGCTCACTACTGCTGTCTTGAAAAGTGTAGAGCAAGCAGTTTTGCTTACATTCAATCACTTCTTCTTAGCAAAGCAGAAATGTCCTAACAATAAAACAGCTGACTTGGGAATGCTTTTAAAACCCAGGCAGTCTTGGAAAACACATCACAATTGGATTCAGAACCACAGTGAATCATGTCTGACCTTGGAATGTTTAATTGTAATTAATTTTCCTAAATACAACCCTTTAAAGCAGATGCAGTGAAGTCTTTTGTTGCCTGTTTCCATTTATCAGCCAAAAGGGTTGCCGCGAGTTGCGAATGACCAGGCTTCGCTCTAGTTTTATATTGCTCGTCTTAGAGAAGCATTAATAATCGATGGTTTTGCATTACAAAAAAACAAAGTAAAACTGTCTGGCAAGCTTTCTCTGTTCTTGTCCAGCTAGGACCACAATTAAGGTTTTGGCTTGCAGGGTTAACAGGAGCTGAGTAGGATGATTCCCTATCCCCAGTGACTAGTCCGCCCTTCCAAGGCCTGCCGAGTTGCCAGGCTGATTGTGTGGTCATCAGCAGTGCCCTGGAATACTGCAGCTCACCTGGTTTAGGAACCGGACTACTGAGACCACCACAAGGGACTGGCTCGATTCCAATATTCCATTACCCAATATGTCATCCTGGAGCCAATTCAGCTCCAAGGAGAGACCCCTTTTACCTCCCTCCCCGGAGGATAAGGTGTAACAAGCTGATCACATGCTGCAAATGAATACTGTTCCCTTATTTGCTTCATTTAGAATAAGCCATGAAAACTTGCATCTGACTGGTTAAAGAACATGAGCGAAACACGGTTAAACATCCAAATGTAATAGTGCATAAATATTTTGCAAAACATCCGTACAGGCTAACATAGAGAATGCCTTAAGTATGTACCCTCAAATCAGTTGTGTTGAGTTAATGGGTGATGTGTAACACTTCTCTGTAGATTGGGTTTCCCTGGATTGGGTTTGCTGGACTTGGATTTCTCAGAGCATTGGTACAATAACACAAATTAAGAGTTTGAAAAGGTTTCTTTCAGAAATCTTCTCATTTCTCTGGGTCTTGAATCTGAAATAAGAAGAGAACAGTGGCAACATGTAGATGCACATGAAAATGTGGGCGAAAAGGTGCAGTTTTTGGAAGTTGGAAATTGATAATTCAAGATATATAGATTGTAAAGTTCAGGGTTATTGAAAGAATATGAAGGTTTTTAGAAACAAAGTGACAATAATTCAGTATTATTTGACTCCATAATCTATCAAATTACAATTTCCTCAAGACAGTTGTTTTGGCTGGTAACACAGGAATTTCCATGTGTCAGTGGCATGAATTGGGACTCTTAAACATGGTGAATGGTTTCCACATGTGTCAGATACCCGCAAAAAATATTGCCTGATAAGATTAGGATGGTGTCTGTAAGACATTTTTAAAATAATTATTTTGCAATATTTTTTGGTGTATTTCCAATCTGAATATTTCTGCTAAAGCCATTACCCTTTGGGGGTTAATAGGCTGCAGTGGAAGGATTTTGTAAAGGGAAGCACTGAAGCAATTGGGGTCATTTGCAAATTGCTAAGTATTATCTTTTATTCTGCTGCTAGATTGGAGAATTGCTGAGCAATATACATCCTGCTAGCAAAGCCAGCCTTACATTGTTCTGCCCTGAAGAAGGCGATTGGAAAAACACAAACCTGGAAAAGCATAACCTTCAGGATTTCATCAATATAAAACTGAACTCGGTCTCTATTTTACCAGAAATGGAAGGACTTTCAGAATTCACTGAATATCTTTCAGAATCAGTAGAGGTACCATCATCCTTTGATGTATTGGAACCACCGACTTCTGGGGGCTTCCTCAAACTGTCCAAGCCTTGCTGCTATATTTTTCCTGGCGGGAGAGGTGACTCTGCTTTGTTTGCTGTGAACGGATTTAACATGCTTATAAATGGTGGCTCAGATCGCAAGTCATGCTTCTGGAAACTGGTCCGCCATTTGGACAGAGTAGACTCCATTCTACTCACCCACAATGGAGCTGATAATCTCCCTGGGGTCAATAGTCTGTTGCAACGTAAAATAGCAGAACTAGAAGAAGAGCAGTCACAGGGCTCCACCGCTAACAGTGACTGGATGAAAAACCTCATCTCACCAGAGCTAGGAGTTGTATTTCTAAATGTGCCAGAAAACCTAACAAACCTGGAGCCTAATTTCAGAGTCAGGAGAAGTACCGAGGAGACCTGCCTTACCCTCCAATACTTAAACAAATTGTCTATAAAACCAGAGCCCTTATATAGGACTGTGGGAAACGCCATTGATCCAGTCATATTGTTTCAGAAAATGGGTGTCGGCAGACTGGAAATGTACATTCTCAATCCAGTCAAAGGGAGCAAAGAACTCCAATTTTTCATGCAACATTGGTCCAGCAATAACAAAGCTAAGACTGGAATAGTGCTGCCAAATGGCAAAGATGCGGAAATTTCATTTCCATATTTAACTTCAATATCGTCTCTGATAGTATGGCATCCAGCTAATCCTGGTGAAAAAATAGTCCGGGCCCTGTTCCCAGGAAATGCCTCACAATACAACGTGCTGGAAGGTCTAGAAAAACTCAAACATTTGGATTTTTTGAAACACCCAGTTGTAACTCAAAAGGAGCTAACAGCTAGTCTGGCTGCTTCAACCGTGAAACAGACCAAGATGAAGCAAAGGACTGACAGCAAAGAGAGTCTCAAATCCACTCCCAGGCCACTCAGCAGTAAAGGAATTAAGAAGGATGTCAACGAAGTGAAATCCGAGGTAGCAAAACTTGCTCAGCAAGAGGAGGACAAGGAAAAATCTCCAAAGGTTGAGAAGAAAGAAAAACCTTTAGTTAAAAAGGAAAAGGCCAAACCGGAATCACAGACAAAGCCGGAGGAGAAGGAAACAAAATCAAAAGATATAACAGCTAAGCAGGAGCTCAATGAAAAAATGCAGGCTGATGAGAAACAGAAGTCTGAGAGCAAACCCAAACTTGTGAAAGAAAAGGTTGTGAAGAAAGAGGTTAAAGCAAGAAAACCCGAGGAGAAGAAAAAAGAGGAAAAAGAAGTAAAGAAAGAGACTGGGAAAACGGAATCGGTTAAAGAAGACAAGGTGGCTGTTAAAAAAGAGAAAGTTAAAAAGGAGGAGAAACCTAAAAGAGAAGAAATCAAGAAGGACGTGAAGAAAGAAATTAAAAAGGAAGTGAAGAAGGACAGTAAAACAGAAATAAAAAAGGAAGGAAAAGAAGAAAAGAAAGATAGCAAAAAAGATGAAAAAGATGTGAAGAAGGATGTAAAGAAACCTGTTAAGGAGGTGAAAAAAGCTCCAGTTGCTCCAGCTGAGGTCAAGAAATTACCAGCAAAACCCAAAGTGCAAAAGAAAAATGTGTCTGAACCAATAAAGAAAGAAGATAGTGCTGCAGGTAAAGCAAAGGACAAAGGCAAACCAAAGCCAGCCAAGAAAGACAGCAAAATGGCAGAGGGCAAAGGTGCTCGGCCAGGAGCAGCAGGTAAAGTGGCAGCAATAGCAGCAGCTGCTGGAGTGGCAACAGCAACGGCTGCATTGACCTCAGTTGAACTTGACATTGAACGATCACTGATGTCTTCACCTGAAGATCTAACAAAGGACTTTGAAGAACTTAAGGATGAAGAAATAAGGGACATCGAAGAACATGTACCAGAAAAAGAGCCCATAAGCAATCAAGTGCAAGAAGCTATACTAGATGAAAAGGAAGCACTGAGAAATGCTTTGGAGACTGCTGAATCTCCTGATGAAGGAATAACTACCACAGAAGCCGAAGGCGAATCACCTCAGGATGATATTGAAGCTGGAGATAAGGTGACAGTAGAACCATGTGAGAGATTTGAGGATGAAGGGACTGGCTTTGAGGAATCGTCTGAACCTGGAGACTATGAAGAAAAGGCTGAAACTGAAGATGTTGAGGAGGTGCCTGACTATTTAGCAGAAAGGAAGCCATTGAGCACCAATGAACAAATTGAGCGTAAAGTTACTGAGGAAAAAGTTGAAGATGAAGATATTGAAGGAGAAGAATTAATCGAAACTGAAGAACTAGAAGTTGAAGATATACTAGAAAAAGGAGAGATAGAAGAATCTGAGGGAAGAGTGGATCATAAAGAACATGGGAAATTTCATCTTAAAGCAGTGGAAACTGAACAAGAGTCTGAAGATGAAGAACATAGACTAGGTGATAGCAAAGAAGCTGAAATTTATGGAGAGGAAAAACTCCATGATACTAAGTACATTGAGACAAATAAAGAAAAGGTCCCATCTCCTTGCGAAACTTTGACTAAACTCTCTGCACTTCAGTCTTTTGTTGAACAAGCATCTCCGATCCTCGATGAGACTATACCCGTGGATTTTGAAAGTGAAACAACAGGTTCTGATGAAGAAACCCACGAAGAGCCTCCAGAAGAATTTACAGCTACCTCAGGCTTCACTCACTCTACAATTGAAATCTCTAGTGAGCCTACTCCAATGGATGAGATGTCTACACCTAGAGACATTATGAGTGATGAAACCACTAATGAAGAAACTGAGTTCCCTACTCAGGAGTTTGTGAGCATGACAAAGTTTGATGCTCTTTCCCTTCCACAGAGTCACGAAGGAGCCAAGCTTTCTCCTCCTACCGACACTTACAATGGTCGCTCATTAGAAAATTCAAAAACTGATGTAACGCAAGGAGATGATTATCAGGCTTCAGCCTCAACTATATCTCCTTCATCTTCTCTGGAGGAAGACAGATCCTTTAGGCCTCCATCAATTGCTGCCCAATTTCCCAAACATGATGCATTTGAAAAACAGGAGGAAAAAGAAGTTGAAGATCAAAGGAAAGATCTTGAAACTAAACTGAGTCCAGCAAGGAGTCCAGATGCAACTTCGCCACAGGCTAAAACACCTTTAAGTGACCGTAATGTCAACTTTGATTTGACTCCATCAGAAATCAAGGCATCTGCAGGGTTTACAGCACCTATTCCTGATAGTTCTCATGATGTTCCTGATGAGCATTGCCCAAGTCCTGAGGAAAAGACCCTGGAAATGGCATCTCCCACACAGTCTGGCCCTCCCAGTGCAGGCCACACCCCTTTCTATCAGTCGCCAGTGGATGAGAAATCTAGTCATGTTCCTGAAATACCTGAAAAGCTCCCAACTCCAATTATTATTGAGACTGATGATATGAGAGATGATGAGACAAGTCCAAGGTATAGCCCCATGGATGAACCTGTCCCTGATTCAGACTCGCCTGTAGAAAAAGTTTTGTCTCCTCTCCGTAGTCCTCCATTGTTTGGTTCCAGTTCGCCTCTTGAAAGTTCTTCAAACGAAGATGTAGAGTGCCCAGTGCAGTTTCTCGAAGGTGCACTGGAACTGAAGAACAATAAGGCTAAGCTCCATTCTTTGATCCGTCCTTATCCATTTGATGGTTTTTCATCCAGTATTCCCAAACCTGAAAAAGAACAGGTAGGGGACTTTGCGTTTTTGCCTCCTAAAGATAGTGTTTGTCAGGAAACCACAGTAGAGAAAACTGCTGCAATTAGCCTCCCATCCCTTGGACCCTTTGCGCCACATAGAATGGCAGGAGAATTGTCCCCAACATTGGTAGATTTCAGCCAAATTGGATCTGTTAAGGAAGACAGCAAAATGTCTATTTCTGAAGGAACCACATCGGACAAATCAGCCACTCCTGTTGATGAGGTTGTAGCAGAAGATACTTACTCCCACATAGAAGGTGTGGCTTCAGCTTCAACAGCATCACTTGCCACAAGCTCCTTTCCTGAACCAACAGCGGATGATGTGTCTCCTTCATTACATGCTGAAGTGGGGTCCCCTCATTCAACTGAAGTGGATGAATCCCTTTCAGTGTCTGTTGTGCAAACACCAACAGCTTTCCATGAAACCGAAATATCGCCTTCCAGAGAAGACTGCCCAAGGCCAATGTCAATCTCTCCTCCTGACGCCTCTCCAAAAACTGCAAAGTTCAGAACTCCAGTACAGGAAGCTCGATCACCTGAGCAGTCAACAATGTCTGTGGAGTTTAGCCAAGAATCACCTGAACAGTCTTTGGCATTGGACTTTAGCAGGCAGTCTCCTGAACAGCCTCCAGTTAACACTGACTTTCAGCATATATCTGAAAATGGACCAACTGAAGTAGACTACAGTCCATCTGATTTGCAAGAGCCTGACTTTGTCCAACGTGTTTTGCCTGCGTTTGACAGACCATTCTGTGGTCAGGAGAGAGAGCATTTGCAATTTGGTTCAACTCCTCCAACGGAGGCTTCCCCATCAACTTCATCTGCTCGTACACCACAGACAACATCTCCATTGCAGGAAGAGTATGGCATTTATACTTCAATGCCACCTGCCTATCCATCGATTAGACCAGCTGTTTCTGGAGAGCCGCTCCTATCAGAGAGGGTAGCGGCTGAAGGACAGGAGGATCTACAAATGTTTCCTCTATCGCAGTCTCCTTCATTTGCAAAAGAAGTGTCTCATTTACACACATCTGATTCATTCAGCGCTACTGTGCTACAAGGGCCGACTTCACCTCATGCGCCAGTGGTATCGTCAATGTTCTCTTCTTCAAATGAAACCTCTGCTCTTTACGCACCACCTTCAATACCAGAGCCTGTCTCCCCACGCGGCAAAGTTCCAGCCATCAAGTCGGACATTGAAGAAATGGAAATATTTAGCAGAGTGCAAGATAAGGCTAAACATCTAAGTGAGCCTGAAGATGGATATTTTGTATCTAGAACATCACATTCAACAGAGGCTCAACGCAGTGTTGACACATGCTTTAAGACTCCTACTTCTTTCAAGCACCATTACACTGATCTCTCCCCTTCTTTCATCAATCCAAGCCCCCTTGAATTTTTTGGCCAAGAAGATGAGCCTGAGGAGATTGAGAGACCATTGACCCAGGGTGGAGGAGCCCAGCCACCATCCGGTGGAAAGATTCCACAACGTCAGTGTGATGAGACCTCAACAACTTCACTTAGTGAATCATTCCCATCTCACAGTGATTCAGATGTTCCTCCTGAGACAGAGGAATGTCCTTCCATAACAGCAGATGCCGCCTTAGATTCAGAAGATGAATCAGAAACTCTTCCTACAGACAGAACGCTTGTGCATAGACAAATAGATCCCCCGCCTGCTCCATTAATGGACCCTAGCCCACCACCACCAAATCCTGATGTTTGTATGATGGATCCTGAAGCAATGCCAACTGACCCGATCATGGCAAAGGCGGATAAACCTTTGAAAAAAGAAGTGAAGGAGAGGGCAAAGACCAAAAAACAAACCGTCAAGACCAAGTCTTCCTCCCCTTCGAGAAAAACGGATAGCAAGCCAAAGCATTCCAGTGCTCCTTCCCGAACAGTGTCCGTCCGGGAATCACCTGCAAAAACAGCTTCTCCTAAGAAGAAAGATTCTGTAGAGAAGCCAGCAAAGGCCAGTGCCAATCCAGATGTGAAGTCTGCTCGAAGTGAAGACAAAGATAAGGAGGCTAAGAATACTACCAACACCTCACATTCTAAATCCACACATGCTACAAAAAATATGAGTACAGGTAAAGTGAAAAACTTGTGCAAAGTGCTTCATTTCATTCTATTTAATAAATTAATTAGACTCAGGATATCATAACCCTCTTGAGTACTGAATGCATTCTGAGTACAGCTTTACTGTTTTATAACCTTGCTATCCTCTAAACTCATAAACATTCATTTATTTCAATTTCATTATGGATAACCTATCAGAAATGTGCAGGACTATTGTTCTAAAATCCCAGTACTCTTGGATTGAACTCTTCTTGTTATTTCTGATTTGGGCAGATGAATCCCTCTGCAGTCTTAAAGATTTAGACAATGTGTCAGCTAACTTGTTTTTTCCAAATATCGCTCTTCTGATTAAATTGTCAAATAAATAACATTTATTTTATAAATAAAACTAATCAAATAAATTAACAAATAAAATTGGTCACTCAGGCTGTTTGTGGGACATTGCTGTGCGCAAACCGGCTGCCACATTTCATTCACTAAATACAGTCAATCCATTTTGAAGCACTTTGAGACATCTCAATGACATGATAAGGCTCTATATCAAATGCAGGGATTATTTATTATATGCCCATCTCCCGATTGTTTATTTTCACTGTCAATACAAAACAGTTATAATGTTGTAAATTCCAAGTGGCTTACAAAGAACGTACAGCACGGAAACAGGCCACTTGGCTCCACCAGTCCATGCTTGTGGTTGTGCTTGCTTTATCTGTCATTTATAGATTGATCAGAATAAGCATTTTAATAAATCCAGTTCTATTTGATATATTTAGGTAGTAATAAATGAGAGGTGAATTTATTTAGTACTTGAAGTAAAGTACTGTGATATTTGTGCTTTATCTGATGCTAAAAGTGGAGTTCAAAGCATATGTGCACTTGCAGTGTTTACACTATTTCCCAGTACTTGTTTGTTTGCCAGTTTTCTTCCTCTCCTGAAGGCACTAACTCCTGCCTGGGTGCAGGTCCATGGGCAATAGCTGCCTCCAGTAGCAAGTGATCATTCTTTATGTCTGAGCTTAGCAAATTCTTTCCTGAGCCACAACTAATCCTATCTTTACTTGATGTCCATACATACCCAGCATTTTACAGAGGGAGCCGTGGGATAGAGATCAACCACAACAACTTGCACTTATATAATGCCCTCCAAGCAGGGTAGCGTCTCGGAGATCAGAGAAGAAGTCTGGCTAACCATGCTTTCTGCCTGGCCCACAAAAAACAATTGTAACATCTCAACTGCTACCTGAGCTGAGATCAGCTAATTTAGTACAATTACATCTCCGATTGTACCTCCAGTTACACATGGGGTAGAGCTACTCTTAGTAGCATTTTACTCTCAAAGATACTGAGGCAGCCTTCCAGTACTTTTTATTCTTATTAGAGATGATCCTTATTAGAGTCAGTACGTTCAGGTGAGGAAGAAAACTGGCAAACAAACAAGTGCTGGGAAATAGTGTAAACACTGCAAGTGCAGATATGCTTTGCACTCCTATTTTATTCTGTATTAGCACAAGGAAAATGTGGTATATTACAGTTTATTATTGCTTCCACTAAATAATTTTTAACAGCAGCATTGAGCAATTCAGACTCTTTTAAATGATAAATGAAGTCTAAAAGGAATAATTTCTGTGCACATTTTTCCCTTCAAGAGAAACAATATGTACTTACAATATTGTTGTTCAGGAATACAACATTAACAACAACAACTTGTATTTATATAGTGCCCCTCACGCAGGATAGCATTTCAGAGAGTTTAAATAGGTGTGATATTATTCTTCACTTGTCAGTACATTTATTGGTCTCGGTGGTATTTGCTTATCATGAGATTGTCCCATTACTTCACCCTCAAAATACACAGTCAATCCACTTTACATTGTATTCTGTGAAGTGCTTTGAGACATCTCAACGACATGATAATGCACTATATCAAATGCAACGATTACTATTATTACTATAATCACCACATGAAGGTCAAGAGACGTTCCAATAAGTCCAGAAAAAATCTTGTTTGCTGCCCAGGTCTACACATTTGCTGACAGGCAAAGAATAACCCCAGAACAGAGGATTGTTTTGAAACCTGTTATTTTTTTATTTAAGGTTCCAGCAGCAGTAAGGCAGCACTTGTACCCTCAGTGCCCCCTGGACCCCCTGTGTACCTGGATCTGGTGTACATTCCCAACCACTGCAGTGCCAAGAACGTGGATGCAGAGTTCTTCAAACGAGTGAGATCTTCCTACTATGTTGTGAGTGGAAACGACCAGGCAGCTGAGGAACCCAGCAAGGCTGTTCTGGATGCTCTTCTGGAGGGGAAGGCTCAGTGGGGAAATAACCTGCAGGTATGGTTACTGACTGTTCCAGCAAAATATGTATATATTAAAACGGAAAATCCCTTCCCCCCCCACCCCGAACCAGGCAGATACAGACACAAATAGGCTCACAGCTCAAACAACACAGGTTGGGGATGTGGGCCTTAAAAACTCAACAGCAGCACACACAACAGCGACGGGGTGCAGGCACGTGGGTTCACAGTGAATGAGTACCTGCAGCCCTTCTTATATGCCTCACAATTTGCCTCCTGCACTACGGATAACCAAACTTCAGGCCAGCCATGTGTCCTAGATTTCCCTGCACTCTGGCTCCTTAGACTCAGGACCTGTACCCCGTAGTCCAGACCCAGAGAGACGTTTAGTAGTGTGTGCCCGCTTTTTAAGATGACAAATTCCACACTCCTCAAGCCTTCCTCTCTTGAGGTTCTAATGCCCGGTACAATATATATATATATATATATGTACACTGGTTTTGCTGTTTATACATTGGCACACAGTTGAATCATAGCAATTTTATATCATTTTTATATTTCTGCTCCAGAGATAACTAATTTTATCACTTTATTACTGTTGTGGTGCCACGCGTTGTGAGAGAAAGCAAATATTTTCATAATCATCAGAAAAAGACATCCACATCAAGTGGAAATGTGTCAGAGTCTTCTCCATGTGTCGTGGAACTGAGACAACAACAATGTGCATTTATATAGCGCCTCTCACACAAGGCAGTGTCCCAGAGCACTTAGCCGTGGAGACACCAGGAGGGTTTATTGTCTGGTTTGTATTGAGTTGATAGTTTAATGCAAAATGAAATACAATAATGTAACAAGGAGAAAGAATCAGCAAGTCAATCCTACTGATTTGTTGGGTTTTTATTTAATATCATCTTGTACAAAGGCTAAACACTGATGTCCTGCGGGCAGCACTGTGTAGATAAAAACAGTTATTATTTAGTAAGATATGATAACGGAAAAAATACACTGTATTTAACAATCGCATCTGAAATAGAAACTCACCACAGTTGTATTGTGTTGAATTGCAGGTTACTCTAATCCCGACCCATGACTCCGAAGTCATGCGGGAATGGTACCAACAGACGCACGAGAAGCAACAGGACCTCAACATCATGGTGCTGGCCAGCAGCAGCACAGTGGTCATGCAAGACGAGTCCTTCCCTGCGTGCAAGATCGAACTGTAACTGGGAGTCCCGTCAAACCAAAACATTCAACCAGTTGTCTAAGGGGAAGCACTCAAATGGAAAATAAAACACAAAAAAAAAAGAAAGAGCGATAGCAGATACCAATCCATATCTGCTGAATAATGTACAATAGATTTGTTATACAGGTCACTAGCGTGTAACACTTTCCAGACTGTTTAGTTCAGATGCTAAGGCAAGGCTTTTGATTTCTTAATCCAAGGGTTTAAAATACTTGGAGCTGCATGAACAATCATTCTTAGTTCAGATCGATTGTATTTTGTGGTGTGGTTGATTCCAGATCAGGGTCATTGGGTTTAGAAGAATATTTGGCGATCAGAAAGTTACAAGATTCTTGCCTGTGGGAACAGAAGTTTTAAACAGAGACAAATTGTCACAAAGTGACAGCAGTAGTTTAACAATGTGTGGAATGAGTGAAATTTAGTTCCTTTTTAATGATTCTAATTCTATGAGACATCGCTGCATCACAACTTTGAACACCCGCATAGTGACACAATATCATCAACATGTAGCGAACTTGCAAGTATTTTGAACCCTATTCATGTAACCAGGCTATTTTTTTCCCGTAGATATGCAGAGATATTTAACTAAGGCATGCTCCCTGTGTACCAGCTTCCTGACAGATTTAATTCTGCATTGAACCTGGCATATTGCCATTAAGCCTTGATAAAACTGCATGCTTAAAAAATCGACAGCTAGTATATTTAAGCAGAGACCAAAGGAGTTGGGAGTACACATACTAGTCAATTTGCCTTAGACAGTGACTTGAATGTATTGTGATCTAGGTTGCACTTTTTTTTAAAATGTGAAATGGCAAGTGTATGAAGCAGACAAGGGATCAGTAGTGAAGATCAGTGTAGGACTGTCGTCTGAATAGTGCAGTGATGTATGTGGGTGTGGATGTGTATATATGTGTGTGTGAGACACCATGATTTCCTTGAGACGAGTCATAACCAATATGGCACCTGTTCTTTATTTTGATTGATGTACGGTAATTATTTTGACCAAGCACAGGTCAGATGGAATTGGAAAAAGGAAAAAAAATCACTCTAGGTTATTCAGAAGGTTTATTTCTTGTGACGATTGTGTTGAAGTACATTCTAAATAGGAATCAGCCTCGAGGCACCTCCAATTTCTTTCAAATTAATTGATTTCTTTTCCAGCCAAAATAATGCCAAGCAAAGGTTCACAAGCTGGGTGTTTTCGGCTAATTATGACAATAAGTAAGAATTCTGGGGGGACAAAATTTATGTAGTTTTAAACTTTGGAAGTGTATGTGAATACTTATGTCAAAACATGTGGAGTTGTGTTTACAGTGTATGATTCGATGTTAAATGTACAGAGAGATGCCAAACATGCATGAATCATCCAATTGAGATCCCCCCACCACCCCGCCACTCCTGACTTCACCAATGCCTGATGACTTTTTTACACATGCTAACAGCAGCTTATATCAAGAGTAACAACAGGAAGTCTTACTACACAAAAAGTCAATGTGCTCCAGTAACACCCCCTTTCTGGATATTTTCCGCATACACAAAAGAAAATCCCAAAACACCCCATCGTGCCTCCTTGTTACCAGTGATCTCATGAGCATGCATCAATGGCATTACGCTTCGTTTAATGCAGTGTTCATTAGGTTTAAATAACAAAGAGTAAGAGGGAGAAATATGTGAAACATCACAGATAGGTGTGGTAGGTCAGAGGACCACTGGATGTCGCTTTGGAGGAAGAAGCAAGCCTAGTTAAAGAGCAATGTTGCCTTGTTTTTACCAAACACCTCAATATGACGAACCCATCATTGATCACATTGAGGAGATTGGTAAAAACATGGACAGAGTTGCTTTCTGAGGACTACATAATAATGATGAGCTTAAAGGCTGGTTGATTAACCTAGTTAATAAGGAACTGGCCTCAGTGCAGGCTGTGTGAGAGAGAAAGTGACCATAACACCCAGTGGACAGAAAAAGCTGATGGCTGTTCTTATTTTGGTCAATAAACATCTTGTTTGCATTTAAAAGCCCAGATGGAATCTAGTTGTCTCCATTAACCCATTTTTGACACCACATGTGGGAGGGTGGTTCTGGGCTAATGAAACAACTAGATTCCATCTGGACTTTTAAATGAATGCAACATGTTTGTTCAAGCAAATCAGAAAAATCAGCAAATATTTTCTCTTTTTTAACTAGGCTGACAAACAAGTCTTAAATAACCTTATTACTTAGTCCTCAGATAGCAAAGTGTTGCATGTTTTTACCAATCTACTTATGATCTATAATGAGCTGTTGACATTCCAGCAATCCTCTGCCCTATCACAATTAACAATTTAACAATAGTTCAATTACACTCAATTTCCCCCCATGTGGGTAAATATGTATGCCTCATCCCGTAATAGCCTTGGCTTATAAAAATCCCATTGCTGCTGACATGCACACGTGCATATGGAATTTCTCTGGGTTTTGTTCATCAGTTTACTGGGGAAGGTGGGAGCATGCTCTTCTGGTTCCATCGATGCTGGAAGTTTTGAGATGTTCCATGCACCTCTTCATTGCTTCTGGATGAATTGTCTTGTCCATGCTGGCTGTCAGTGGGTAAGGACTGGACTGAGCTCTGGCCACATTAACTGATTGTGTTATGTAGGATGAAGGGTAATCTGCGGCAAGGGTGAAACCACTGAATTGTGCATGCATAATTTTCAAAAGTGCTTCTACCATGTTGCCTGTACATTTTAGGACTTCACTGAAATTAGTTGTAGATTCAAAAAAGCTACAGATATTGATGGTCTACTTGGGTTTTCTCAGTTTTGGATAGCAAGAGTACAGAGGGTTGTATCCTTCTCACTTGGATGCATGTGGAATATTCTACTTTGTTTCTGTAATTAATGTATTTTCAAAGGTTAGCATTAGCCCTCTGATCAACAGCTTTATCAATGTATACTATACAGATCAAATAAGGAGCATGGATAAAACAATGCTGTCACTTACCATTTAACATGTGCTGTATAATATGTGCTCTTGTCTCACAGTGAAATCAGGTGTGGTTTGGTACACTGCAAATGCTCCCAAAAAGATCATTGGTTGTTGAATGCTACTGACATATGAACTTATTTTCAGCCCCACTCTTAGAAAACATGTTCTTGCCATAGTTATAACTTTTTTTTAGACTTTAAAACATTCCCTTTAACATGACTTTACTGAAGTTTCACCAGTTCTGGTAATCTGCGGCCAGTTTGCTTGAGTTCATAATAGAAAATCCAAATAATAATTTATAGTCGATAAAGCACTTTTTGCATCAGGAGGACATCTCAAAATGCCTCACAGGATTTACTATTATATCCTGTAAAGTGTAGTGACTGTTTATTTTCTAGACGAAATGTAATGGAGCTATTAAAAAAAATTGTTAATTAAGAAAATGATTTGCTACATGATGCAACTTGCATTTGTAAAACCATTAGTGAAGAACTGCAGAAATTCCAATGGCTTGTGTTGAGTGTTTGAGTAAAACCAGTGAGATGTTGCGTAAGGAATTTCAGCTTGAGCCACTCAAAATGTTCCATAGTTTTCTTTTTAATGAACAAAACATTTTTTTTGATAAAATAAATTAATTTGTCATCCTATTGGGATCTCAAATTTCCAGTTGGAGATTATGTTACTGGAAATGCTTGCATGTTCTTGTAAGTCAAAATGTGTGGGTGCCAATGGTGATAATAGGTAGCTGTGAAACATTCTCAAAGATAAGGCTTGATTATTTCAAATGTTTTGCCATCAGTTTTACTAACTTAGCTAAAGGACACTAAAGGTTTGAGAATTCCAGACACTGTAAATACAGGCTTCTGTAATCTATACCAGTCATGTCAGATCATTTCAAATGCCCTGATTGTAAAAATAACCTGCATTCATACCTGCTTGTGAACCTTTCTTTGAAAACTTGGCAAGGAAGCTCAAATCTGTCTAAAAAACTCGTATTTTTACGTTATGAATGGATTTAGTGTATGTTTCAGTAAGGTTGTTTTTGTTATGATAGGAAAATATAATCTTAGGGGAAGGATAAGTCAGCAAGCTGCCTGCATTCTCTGGTGAATTCTCCATTCTGGGAGCTGCAGTGCTTCTGTTGTATTGCTGATGTGTGGTGGATCATGCAGCAGGCAGGGCGTGTACACAGTTTTAATGATACCTTGAAACCCTGTAATTTTCAGTCCTGTGTCATTCTTGTGCCCTTGTCATTCCAAAGCTGGCAGTTTTCCAGTTAAACTTCATTACAGCGGAGATCAGGATACCACGGAAACCTTTGTGACCGGAATGTACTTTTACTTTTATACCAAATATGAAAACTCTTTCTTTGCTGGATAATATTTACACAAATCCCACTCTCTAACCGAGTGTGCAGCACTGAAAATTCCCCCACTTGATCAAAACTGGCATGGCATATTCGGAGTTGGTTGAGATTTGAGACATTACGGCTTCCAGTTATCTCTGCAAATGGCAGTTGTAACCTTTAAGGTTTGCAACCTGTCTGCCTGCATTCTCATAGAGGCTACACAAGTAGACCAAGACGCTACTGAAATGATGGGATTTCACAATAGACGTGGGCTGACTGCAGTGCATGGAAAGAATATAGATGTGGAGAATTCGATATGCTTAATATGTTTAATAATATTTGTTGTAATGCCCCCTTTATATATTAAGGTTTACAAAACTCTATGATTGGGCCTTGATAAGTCTTTGCCAGGAGATAGGATGCTCTTTTTGACCCACCACCCCACACACTGTTTTGTGACCTTATGAAATCTGAGACTTAAAACAGCTGCTTTCCTAGAGATGTGACCTCATTTTTGTATAGTGTTTTTTTAAAAAGAAGTTGATTATTTTATTTTTTAAAGACTTTATGCGAACAAAAGTGTGAATGTTGTTTTAAAGCAAAGTGAAAGCTCCAATACATTTGCACTGTTTTTTGTACACATCTTTCCTAATGTAGGCAGGCTTCAGTTAGAATTGGATTTTATGGTCGGGATTGCTTCAGTTACTGAAGATATGCAACAATTGCATTTGTATTATAAAGTTTTTGTTATTGTATTTTATTTGAAGATATTGTTCCGTTTAGGTTGTTTGAGAAACACTTAATAAGGCAAAGGTTTTAAATTATGCATTTTTTAACAGATTCGTAATCTTAACTTTTAAAACAGCTGCCAACATTTGAGTTGTAAGCAAAATCAGATGCATTTAATTCTGTGTAGGTAATTGTTCTGTGCCTGTGTGGTTTAATGCTATAAACACTTAGGACTGTAGTTTTAAAGGATGGCCGTACCTTAATATAATTATGGAGAAGCTCACTTAATGCTCAGTTTAGATTTGACTTCCTTGTTTTGGACAAAATTATTGGTGCTAGAAGGTGCAGGTGTTGAATGGTATTGCACTGTGATGATGCCCCAATACACTAAACCAGTGCCTGGTAGAATTTGACCTCACCACAGAAAATTCCTGCCCTCAGTCATGAAGCCAGGGTGAAATGCTTAGTGGAGGTAATTCTATTTCAGGAGGGACAGGAATTAGGTGGATGTAACAACAGAGGTTTATGATGTTACTTGGGTAAGAACTGGACTGATGGCAAGTACCATATTGATACATGGTTGAAGTATACAATGTAACACCTACCCATACTTACACCTCTTAGCAATCAATCCAAGAGCAGTAATACCTCGGTCCGGGAATTTTTGGACCATTCTGTAGGATGGAGAAGGAAGGAAATGCAAGCACCTCACATAGTCTCCAGTTGTGCCCATGATGTGACATCAGTAACTAAGGTGTTACTAGCATCATGGGGAGATTTAAAAAAGAAAGTTAAAACATTTAAGATTCATAAAGAAATTGTACATCTTCTGATTGATTATTCTCACAAATATGAAGTGATTCACAGGACTTCCTGGTCACAACTGTGAAAAAGACAAAAAAAACAAGCCCTGGCTTCAAATCCCTCTGTTTCCTGGCACGAGTAACTTTGCTGACTTGGCATGTAAGAACCTGCTACACTGCACTGTCAATTTGAGTGATTTTTTAATACCTTGAACTCTTATGTTAATACAAATAGGTCTGGGGGATTCAAAAGAAATCTTATCACGCCACTGAGAACAAAATTAAGTGCAAAATATTTTTTATTTCCTTTAAATGCATTTTCTGCATTTCTTAAATGCATAAAACTTTTTTTAAAGACTATTTTAAGAGAAAGCGGTTCATAGTTATGTTTATGTGAAGGAGTTTGTTATTACTGTTTTGGATAAATTGTCCGTCCATCCACCCTCCCCCACCACCCCTCAATATTTCTTTGGAAATTTCTTGTTGTCAGCTACGACCGGCTAGTCGTGCTGTGACAGACTGAGTGTTGTGAGAGAATGTGCACGTGGCATGCAATATTGCTGTTTTACTGTGTCCCTGTGTAAAATATTTATGTGGAGATTTGCTTCAAGTTCCTTTGAGTTTGTCCTCACTCCATCTGAAATATTTCTGGTTGAAAGGGCATCATTTACCCATGGCATTTATGCTTGGAGCGGTCCGTACCTAGTCTCTATTTACTGGGAGAAGAGTTCTTGAATACATTGTTGGGATTTTTTAAGCTTACACTTCTGCAACTCCCCCAATCCATTCCAGTCCACTCCTGCAGAATAGTGGCAGAGTATGTTTTTAGGACCTTTTTATTTTTGAAAGGCATAAAACACTAAATCAAGCTGAGAATGGAATGAGAGCAACAAATCTATTAGGGAAGTGGTTGAAATGAGCTGCTTT